CTTGAGATTGATTAATAGATTAACAAAGAGAAGAAAGAGATAAAGGATTTGTTTATTTTTTTCTTGCAGAGCAAACGCTATAAAGATTGTATTGTATTCCTTTATTTTTTTCTATGTTGTCCCAAGCCAAGATAAGATTAATTTCGTCCACTCACTCGACTCGATTCCACCACTATATTAGACTTTGATATGAAAACCACTTCTTACTTTCAAGAATGTTTCTCCAGAAGAATGGCCACAAACGCTCAGTCATTTTGAATTGTTCAGTTCAATATTAGGTGAAAAATATTTTTATTTGAATCATTATTTTGTAGCAGAATGCAATAAGAATTTCTGTGGCAATACCATCTCCGTAAATTTGTAATCCATTAGATCTGAATATTTTCTAACCAATAAGAAGCCTTGAAGCCATAAGAATGAACGGGTTGTCCAGCTCTAAATTCTCTTGGCGGTATTTTAGTCAATGAAAGAGGACTTAACAAATTGAATTAACATTTTTCATATTGGAGTTCTTAAATTATTCTTAGTAATAATTCAAAACTTCGGTTGATTTAACATCGTTCGGGTTCATCTGCTTGCAATCAATCTCTGTTGACGAACGGTACTGCCTGACGAAGCAAGCTACTACCTTCTTGTCTATTACAGGTAAAAACACACACACATTACAAGGTGAACGGAAAATTGGTTGGTACACACAAATTATATATTCACATCAAAAATTCTTTCTTACCTTATTGTAGACATTACTACGCTCTTTCTTTACAAGAATTTAAATCAGACCAAAAATGGAATATTGCTGGCATATCTGAACTAGAGCTGCACAATCGTACCAATCGTTGATAGAGTTGGCTCTGTGGGTGACATATTATTTTCTGGTCTACAGGTTCTTTCCGACAGTTAAAACTGAAGGTCAGTCATTATTCAATCGTTATTTCCATGGCAGATTTTCAGAGGAGCTCGTTTCTTTATTCGTCCAGTTCAAACCTTTACAGCTAAGACACACACAGGGGCGAATCATCTCCATACACTTCGTATTACTTTGGGAAGAAGGAATATTCAATCAGCTTCTTTTCCAGAAGAGTTTTTCTTCTCCATCACTAAACTTAACACCTTCAGGCCAAACATCATCTTACATAACCTCGGCACTTATTTTTTCCGCTAAAAAAAAAAAAAAAAAAAAAACTTTTTTAAGATCTTATAAAATTTGACTTTAATCTCATGCCTTTCCCAAAATACAAGTGTTTATTTTTGTTTACACGTCTTTCTACATGCGGAACATGGTCCCCAACTTTGTTGTTATTGTCTCAAGGGTTTTTTGTCGTTTGTGCCATCTAGGTTTTTTCAGAATGTCATTTGCACTAACCTTCCAGGAATTTTAATCTGAACCCTTTATTTAATCTACGGGGGTAGACTATTCTCGTTCCGCTGCTCATGTCTAGGGATATCTTGTCGAGTTAAATCTCTATAGAGAGAATTGTCCTACGGCCTAGAGAACTAAAGCGTTGGTTCATAAATTCGGTGAGTTCGTGAGTGAGTTCAATCCGTAAGTCAGGCAGCCTGTACTTGGACGAGCAATAACAGGACGAATAATAACCGAACAATAATGAAAAATACGAACTAGAGAGCAAGATATCCCTAGACATTGGCAGTGGGACGAGAACATTCTTCACCTGTAGATTAAAGAAAGGGTTTAGTTCGGAATTCCCTCTAGGTTACCCGGATACACCTGATGAATGCCTGAAAGGATAACGACCGAAATATTGTGATAACTACAACAAAAATCAGATTATACTATTCGGACTATTTTCCTCATCCTTGTCGCCATATTTATTATAACGTTTCGACCGTTGTACGCTCCGGCCTTCTTCAGGTGGTTGGAATGTCGAACTGTACCCTTTATTTCGATCACTGGAGCAGACTGTTCTAGTTCCACGTTTTAATGGATTTCAGTTGTCAGCTATCTCCTGTTAATTCCCCTCTCCAACTTCTCCACTGCCTTAACTGGGTATTGAACTCACACTCTTTGGGTCTTGTCACTGGATCTAACCAACGGCTTTATCCAATGTGCTATGTGTCCTTGAGAACGACTGCGTATGAATTTCTAGGTATTATAAACCTATTGTCTCCAGCAACAATCTTTTCCCAGTGCTCATATTGCAATTTTTTGCTGTTATCTTTACATGTTTTTACCAGAGCTCATATTGCAATTTTTGTTGTTATTATCGCTTTTCTCTGGCACTCCTTATTACTGGTTCCCATATTGTATTCATTTCTATGCTTGGTCGGCTCAGGAGATTTTTGTGGCCTAGCATATGTGCTGATTCCTTAAGTTTACGAATTTTCCAATGATGTTCTATGTCTGTGATTTCAAACTGATCCCTCTCCATATGTGGTCAGATTCCCGTCGTGTTACAGCTTTTTGATGTTATTGAAGCCTTACATTAAAGGGGCGGCCTGTCTCCCATTTATATTTCTTTTCGCAGCTGCACGGGATAGCGTACATACAGTCTTTAGACATGAGATTGATTAATTTTCTACGGTTTATCAACCCACTGCAAGTTATTTAAAGCCAGAAAATATTTTTTTAGATTGTTAGATTTTTTTGTAGGGGGGGTGAATAATAATAATTTAATAATTTAATTTAATCTAACGTTTCCCAAAGATATTTTCACGTAAGAGAATATAACAAACCCAAATTGAATTGAAACTCAGCTCTCCGATTAACAATTCCCAACCATTATCCATCACACCACCCGCACATCCAAGCCTACAGCACCTGGTATTCCCAAGTGTTCATCTATCAAGTTACCGACGAGGCTCTACGTAGTTTAAATTTCGACTTGATGTGGCCGTAAGCAACAATGAAGAGAAGAATATGTAAATAGTATAAATATTGATAACTTCTCTTTCCAGAAATTCAAACAGAAAATAAGAGTTTATCTTCTTTCGATTAAAGAAATATTAGTTCTTTTCTAAGCAAACATTTTATAGTTAAACGTAAGACAACAATAACATTAAAAGAAAACCTTTTATAAGAATGTCTTTACGTTCGTGGCTCTCGTTCAATCAACGTTACGAATGAGGCGTATTATTCAGATCTCGTGTACGTGATTCTCGCTGCTTAGTACAGCAAAATACGACTCCATATTCCTTTCAGGAAAGCGCGATAGAATGTGGCAAAATCCCGCCAAAAGACACGTTTGGCACTAAGTAAACATCCGGACATTTTTTGTGGGAATTCGTCTTTTTTAACGGAAGCCAAGAGGGAAACGTTCAGTTGCATTAATTTATATTATAAAGCAATTTTGTTTTTTGTTTTTTTGTCTTTTATTTTACTTTTTTATTTTGAAATCGATCGTTTTTAATAGGCGAAAATAAATATTAGAACGTGTCGTTTGGTCAAGACAAAGAGAACGTTTCTTGAATTACTTTCCTAAAATGTATTTGCATATGCAATGCTTTTTGTAAGGAGACTTTTGGAAAGGAACTTTTTTTCCAATTTTTTGCCAAAATCATCTATTGCCTTAATATATATCAAGTGGCAACATTTTTATGATGAGGCAAGTAACTGCAAAGAGGTTTGGGTTTTAGTCATAAAATCTCTGTGATTAAGATCTTTTCCTTATAAGGAAACAATCGACAATCATTAACCAAACAGCTAGTGTTGCTCTCGGTTTATATTTATAAAATCTTTCTTTTAAAACAAATTTTCGGGAAAGTAGTCCAGTCGATGTTATTGCTCTTTCAAGTACTTATGGTAGCAAACCTTGTTTGAAGTAGTGTGGAACATCATCATCTTCATTATGTTTTTATTCGATCTCCGACTTACATGCGCTATACATTTTAGTTGTTGCTGTTGTTGAAAGTCCTCAAGTAATGTGATTTATATTAATTGATATAGTTCTTTGTTTATGGTTTTGTTTGGTTTGCTTTGTTTTACGGCATATCAACCACAAAGGGTTATGTAATATTATTTTTCTCCCTTTAGAAATATATATATACATAAGTCTACATGAATAGTGTTTTGACCCCAGTTTAGGAGTTAACTATATAGCTGGGACCCTAACAGGTGCTACCATCCCAGGTCAACGTGGACCTGAGAACACCAAAAAGCAAGAGGTGGTTTCACACTATTCAAGATCTCGTTGCTGTTGGATGTAGTTTATCGTCTTACCCAGGACTCGGATGTAGTTTATCGTCTAACCAAGGACGCTCTTTGTTTATGATTCGGTCGCGCCAATTGACAATGTTCGAAGAGTATGATGTGATCGCAGAAATTGTCTTACAGGCATGAGTTCTCTGGATTGTCTGGCATGATGCATAATCCTGTTGCCAGAATTAGGCTTTTCCAGCAGCCACTCTCTCGACTCAGGACAGTAGTACCTCTTCAAGGCAATTGATGTAGGCCTCCGTTTTGAGTTTGATGCACTCACCATCTTTTTCTTGTCAGAATCTGGCAAGCAAGATGCCGTACTTTCAAAATCACCATTAGACTCATCCAACTCTTTCCGAATCCTCTGCAATGACACCCAAAAATTAAATGTTCGTATTTGAGCTTCCGGCGCGAATTCCAAGCAGTACAGCATGCCGTTTTCACATTTATGGCGAAGTGAATTGCATCAGGCTGCTCTTTTTCTCACAGACGGTGGTCTACTGTATTGAGCAGGAGACAAAGTAAAAAACGAACAACGCGCATGCACGAAATTAAAAATATAAAATGGCAACAATTTGCCCATCGCACCCTGAATAAATTATAGCTGTTTTGGTCCTTATATACAGTTTTGTGTTTCTTTCTTTCTAACCCGAAGGACCTAGAGAGAATAGATGCTATCGTCGGAAATTGAGTATTGCTGCCATATATGGTCTGGAGCCCCTTCTGTTTGTCTCAAGGTCCTTGATAAAATCCTGAGACGGATATGCAATGTAATTGGCCCTGATCTGGCATCTCGTCTACAGTCGCTCTGTCACAGACGTGCCGTCGCCTCCCTC